CACAGTGAAAGAAACATAGGTTGCACTCCCTAAGTACATTGGTGAGTAAAGGAAAGCAGGGAAGTAACTCTCTGAACTTAAAGACCATGCTGCACTGATTTTTTTTTTCTTTTTTTTTAATATGACTATGAATCACCCTGGGTTAGAAACTGAAAGAACTGGCAGTACTGCAAAGTTTTAGCAGAGTATGATGAGCCTGGAGCAAGGAACCAAAGTGGTTTTAAGACACAGCCTGCTGAATGGAATTGTATCGGAAGATGGATGCAGTATCAGGAGACAGGGAACAACTATACAGACATTAAACAGGTGACATTCCTAGCTCCTCAGGAGCAAGAAGAATCTGATTATCCTTCTGCCAGTCGTGTATCCTGGGTATGGTACATCACTCAAAACTCTCCTTAGCCTGACAATGGAGCACTTACAGAAAACGAAGGTGGAGTTAGGTCTGCTGGTCTACAGCAGATTTTCTGATGAAGAGGGTTGTTTTCCAGATATGTAGCAAACATTGTGCATTGCTCAATGTCATAACATCGCTTGCAGTTATATGCAATTCTTCTCACTCAGCAGTGTTCACCACTTCTAAATGTGGGTAGTCAGTCATAATAGCATTCTTACAGTGTTAAGCAGTGTCTTCCTGCTCCATTTGCTCATTTCAATTCATGTCAAACAAATGTGATTTTCCTCAGCTCTTAACTATTTTATTTCCATGTATTCTTTTCATGATCAATTAACCTGTTTCTACTGAAAAGTTTACACAAATTTCCAAGAAAATTCTTATTCCTTTTCTGCCATCTATGATTCAGGTGGAAACTTCATAAGGATTACAAAAGGGACTAAAAAGTGACATATGCTTCCGCTTACCTTGTACAATTTACTGACTTTTCAAACCAGATTTTTTCTGGAGAAAGAAAAGACAATTCATACTCTAATTCTTTGTAGAGAGTGCAAGCCTGTTGTTCACACAGTTCAATTATGCAACAGAGAGCAGGCAACACTCTTAGTCTTCCAACAATCCACAAGTTAATTGAAGCTCAGATCCTGACTGGAGTCTGGTCACTGGGATTCCAGCCCATCAGCTTCTTATATATATATATATATATATAATTTATATATATATATATATAAAAGATTTATTTATTTATTTATTTATTTATTCTCCTTAAATAAAATCAATAAAGGAAGAATATGGAGGAATATGTCACATAGACACATAGAGAGATGATAGAATTGAAATGTCCTTTTTTCCAATCATGAGAAACCTTCCCTAATGACCAAGATCTGTAAAGGACTAGTATCCTTGCAGTGACTCTGCATTCATGGGTGTATCCCATTAGGTGCTGTGGAGTTACACTTATCCACTTGGTTTAGAAGCTCCCTGATTTAATCCTCATCCTCCACAAGTAAGTCTTCTTTGCAGTAGACTTTCCCACTAATCTCTGGAGTCTGGGATTTCTGAAGACTGTTTTTACCAGTAAAGACCAAAGTGAAGAAGACCTGAACACCATGTACTTCTCTGTGTCTTTTGGCAAAGGGCAGCTGTCCTATTCAGCAGCAGACCCACATTTTCCACAGCCTTTTTTGTTGCCTTCATGTGTCTCACCAGAATCAACTCTAGGTGGGCTTTGGCTTTACAAATCTCATCTCTGAACGATACAGCAATGTCTCTATGTTCCCTCTGGGTCACCTCTCCCTGCCTTGACCTCTTTTATGCACCCTGTTTATATTTAAGGCTGATCAGGAAATTCTTGTCCATCCATTCAGGCCTCCTGTCACCTGTCATGATTTCTTTCATTTCAGAATGGGTGGTTCTTGAGATTGTAGGAGGTGATCCTGAAAAACCAATACAAAGCATCAGCACAGTTGAAGAAAAGCAATGAGTAGCACCCTGGAGAAGAGAGAAGCCAATGAGCACAGAGCAACAGGCAGCAGCTGTTATGAACACAATCCAACTTCCAGGACCACCCACTGCTTCACTGCAGGAAATGGGGTGGACTGAGTGTATCCTGCAGCAAGAATAAGGGAAATTGAGACTAAGAATTAAGGAGCATAGGTGTTTGACTTAAAGTGAGCCTGAGGAAGGAAAGGAAAAGATGTTTACTTGAGTGTTTAATTGTTTATATTATCTCTTTCTTTCCTGATACCTGGACCAGTGATTGAAAGTTTCTGTTAATTTGTAATTAATTCAATTAAGTAAAAGTTGCCCAGTTTTTGCCTTTGATGCTGGCAAGGGCAATAGCCAAACCTTCATTTCATAGACACCTTTTAGCATATTCTGTTTTGATAAAAGGGAGATGCATTAAAATCTTTGGAAACTACAGGTAGAACACAGACTCTTTATCTTCTCTGAGTACTCTGAAGAGGGTTCTGCTATGTATTAGGGGAAAGCCAGCTGAGCTCTCCCCTAACATACACAAAACTAAAGAAAGTTTGACTACATTAATACTAGGCTGACCTAAAGATAATTAATGTAACCAGCTGATATGCTGGTTTGAATTTACTCCTGTACTTCTGTAATTGTTCTGCTCCAAACTACATCTGGTTTATATCTGTTTTGGAGCCATGGAACAGACATACAAAAGGCTGCACCCATTTCTAGCTATTTCCTATTTCTTTGTATGTTTAAAAAATGCAAATTCTGAAATTGGATAAACAATAACAAAAGCAAAGAAACAGTATGACTCTTTCTTCTAAAATGTTTCAAAAACTTATTTTATGAGATTCATAACAAGCTTAAGAACTGGAAAAGGGCATGGTTGGTCAGAGGACCCTCTACTACCTGGCCAAGAAGAGATGCATATAAAGACATTCAGATATATTAAAAAGAGTATTCTGTCAAATCCTCACCAGAAAGGACTAGAGTATTTCCATGTCAGCATATTGCACTGTCAGAGAGTATTAATTCTCTGCTTAGCATCCTAAACACATGAAAGTAAGTGGGAACTGGAGTGGCAACATCTTCTAAGGGTAGGTCAATCTTTTTTTCATCTATTGGAGCAAAGTCATTTAGCAACCCAGGAGTACCCCTGTTTCCCTTTGGCTGGTTCTCTTGCCTTTTTGGCTTTTTTCTCCCCAGGTGCGAGGGTGGATGAGAACTTGCTGAGTTGGTTTTGAAAATGTAAAATGTGAAGAAAGGGAAATTAGATCCTGGTTGTGGTTTAAATTGAAATGGAGATCAATGTCCAGCACTTTCAAGCATAATGGGTGTGTACACATTTTGGGAGCACATCTGTAAGTTTGATGTAAGTCAGTCTACTTGTGCAATTCTACCATACCTTGTCCAGATTCCTGTCTGCAGCAATGTTTATTTTAGAAAACGTCTCTTCTAGTATTAAGAAAACAATCGAAACAAAAATTTTATTGTTCTAGCGCAGTTCACAGTAAAATCGGGATTAGAATTCTGCTTCTTGAAAACAAAGGTTTGTCAGCTGCCACAGTGACTAAGACACTTCATCCCTCATTAATCTCTGAACTCTTAAGTGGCCTCAGACTTTTACCTACTGCCACAAAGCACTGTGTGAAAAGAAAGGCACTGTAGAAGGCTAGGTGGCTTCTAGAGTGACTAGCTGATTTCTGATTACAAATTAAGGTGGGAATTATGTCCCAATGGTTGCTTCTAATCTTCATGCTGAGGCTGCTGCACAGTCCCACAGCTCCTACCAGAAGCAGGAGAAGATCTGCTAGATGCAGTTTCAGCATATATGGTGAAGAACACTTCTTGTTGGTGTGTGGGACAGTTATCTATGATGGAGAGATCCTTTTTCACTTAATAATCCCTTCCCCCGTAATTGCTGTGAATTTGAAACCAGAACAATTTCTTACAGTTGCTGTTGAGATCCAGAAAGAGTTCTGTGATATTAACAGAAGAAAATAGATCTCCAATGTTATTTGTTTTAATGTCTGAGGGGATAGATTGCTCTAGCAACTGACTCAGGAAGCACTGAAAAGGATGTAGTAGTCTAGAAAATACTATACTAATGGCCTGTTTTACAGAACCCTGAGCAATGATGGGTATGACTTTCTCCTGGTTACTCCATTCATAGCAAATATGTTATTGTAGCAGGTTTCCCTCTGGAAAGCTTTGTCTTGTGTGTAGATGTCTGCCAAACTTGCCTGAAGACAGGGTCTGACCTGTGCATTCTCAAAGTTTCTAGTCTTGGAGGATGCAAGTCTTTCAGATACATTGGTTTTATCCTGCCAAAACAAGCTGAGAAATATCACTCCAAAAATAGCACCATCTTTTGGCTCTGTGCATGCTTTAGGTAAGACGTTCCTAAAACTTAGAATAATTAATAAATTTTTTAAAAATTACTTTGCAGAAACAAACTACAAAGCTGAAGAGGGTTATCATTATTTTCATTTTTTATTTGTCTTTCTCTACGCCTTTTAAGGACAAACCCTGGCCATATTTTTTTTTTACATACAATGGTCCAATGGTTTGGGTGGTTTTTTTTTTTTAAATTGTGGGTTTTGTTTGTTTGCTTGTTTGGTTTTTTTTGTTTTCTTTTTTGTGGTCCTAAGATCTCAGCTGATAAAGATTCCACCCGGGAATTGTTAATAAAGCAGAATCAATTTATCAATTTGAATTAGGTGCTTACTGTATAGAGGGTTGAAAGGAATGTGTCTCCAAAGAGATTATATTAAAATAAATTAATCTTCTTCTTAAGTAAAGTTCCCTGCCTCATCTATCACTTATAGCTGCAGTTGAACTGAAAAATCTGGTACCTTTCTTCACATTGAAGAACCTGATGAAACATTAATACTTCCTGCAGCATGAGCAAAACAAGTGTTCAATTACTGGACCAAAATGTTTTTTCGCCTGGGGATATTCTGTCATCCTTGTCATGACACTGAGTCTGTGAAAATGCACTTTTGATACATATGTGCTATGCACATGTTTTGCAAGTTAGGAAATGTGAACTCTCCATTGAGAGGTGAATTGTTTTGTCAGCTGAATAAGCCTGGGAATAAAACAGAGGGCAAAAATCTACAAAAGAATTTAAGACTGTAACTCTTTTTAGGCACCAATGCTCACTGTGAAATATATGAATGACAAGAAGCTAAATACCTATGTGGATCTTGGCCTATATCTTGTTGATCCTCATCCAGTGCCTTGTCTTGATGGCTTCTCTTTCCCCAATCATCTCCATGTTTCCTGGAGTCCTGATTTATAGCTATTTTGAGATTCACCTTGAGATACAAGAATGAAGGATGATAATTATTTCTGGGCTTTGAGATCCCATGTTGGTAATGTGAAGTCTGACACACCTCACAGTTTATATGAGAAGTCCATCAGTGTGCTGGCTTTGAAGGTGCCCTTGTACTGGTTCTTATGGGAACTTGGCTGCCTGTCAGCAGCATGACTGCACAGTTTTGGTAAGCTTGGAAAGCTCCTTTAAAGGCTTGCAAAAGGGAAAGGCCTCATTTCAACACATTTTGCCAGTGACATAATCCTCTCCTAACATTTTTGTATATAAAGCATCATGTTATTTACCAGGTCAAGAAACTCATTCCCAAAGAATGTATGCCTATGACTCTGGGAGAGAGGGTTTTTAAACAAAAAATGGTTGCTGCAGTTCAGCAGCTTTCCTGGGTGTCTCATTCTTTAGCTGATCCACATTCTTTCCCAGTGAGCATGAAGATGATAAGGACTGGTGCCTATTTATAACTTGCAAGGAGAAATGCTTGTTTAGTGATGCAGTACTCAGTGGAGGAAAAAGAGAGAAAAAAAAACAAGCCCTAAAAAAACCCAAACACTTGCCCTGAGTTCTGTTGTAGGTTACTTCTCTGTGTTGGCAGCCTTACGTTTCTGTGGAGGGCACCATTTTTTGCTTTGAGAGCAAAATATAACTACATGTTCAGAACTGTGCAAAATGAGTAACCAGAAAACCATGTGTTCTTTTCCTCTCCTCACAGTTTTGTGTTTGATTTTTGTTTCTCTGAGAATGGCTATTTATATGATGGTAATATTTAGAGGCCCTGATCCAAAAGGAAGCCAGCATTGCTAGGCTGTGTGCAAATACATGGTGAGAGACAGGCTTTGCCCTTAAAAGTCAGAGATCAAAGAGACCCTGACAACTAACAGATAGGACAGGAAATGGATATGATGTGACTGTCCAAAAATTATGTCATAGTTCAATCACTTGCATACTGAAGTATCATTTACTTTTCATCTTCTCCCTCCAAACAGTTAAGAATTAGGTAGAAGGTAAAACAAATCTCCAGAGGCAAGAATTCAACTTCAGTGAATAACTCTGGTCATCTCTTACTTCTCCCTGTTTTTTGCTTTGAGCTGGATGAGAAAAAGAGGGACCTTGGATCTGTTTTCTACAGATGTCCTCACCACAGTAGTATGAAGATGGCAATTTTCCAGCCTTGTTGATTTTATGGCTCTACTCTTTCACTTTCAATTTAAATCTCCCACACAGAGTATATACAACATCAGAAATGAATTGTCATTAGCTCAGAGGTAGCCTCCGTACACAACAGCTTTCTTTTTAACATCCTGTTCAGATGGGATTGCATGAGCATTGACAAAGGATGTCCTTTTTGCCAGGCTGGCAATCCAGGGTGCTTGTTTTCTCATGTGACAGGGAATGGATTGACTATTTTACCCTTTTTCTAAGGGCTGGGAAAAGCTCAACATTAGGAAAGGAATGTTAGGAACAGACAGCTCAACTTTAGCAAATTTTTGATGAACATGACATTTTTCTTTCTGTGAGGTCTATATCCATATTGTTTCACTAAGCAGAAGAAAAAGCAAGGCACCACTCCACCCACACAGGCTGTCTTGGATGCCATTTCATGGTGTGTCTGGTGTGCTAAGATCTCTTTTATATAAGATTTGTGAAGTATGATTTGAATAAAACCAATCATTTTCTAAAGATACTAGAGTTCTGCTGGAATCATTTCAAAGTGTATTGATTACATCAGTGGCTGACACCCTTTTTAAAGACTTTGGTAGGATGATCTTTTAATTCCCCACATATTTAGTTAAATTGTATTCTTTACTGTAAGAAGTTTTCCTTCTAAGCTTTGATTAAGGAAAGCCAGTCTCTGCATGCACCTGTAAATATTCCAGCTAGAAAAATCTGAGGAAACTGCAGCACCATTTATTTAGTATATTAATTAATTTATGACATTTGTTTATTATTATCCTGAGTTATGAGTAATACTGTTCTGGAAATTTAAGCATGTGATGGACAAAAGGAACGTCCTGAATGCCTGGGCCAACTGTAATGGAAAAGTGAGCTATAAACCCCCTGAGCAGTACTTTTACTAAAAATACCTTTCTGAAGTGATATCTGCATTGTGCCTAGGAGCCACAGTTCTATACCTCAACACAATGTGGATAATACTGTCAGGCAAGGTCAAAAGGGGGTGACTATTCCACAAATTTATGGTCTCTTTAAAAGAAGATGACAGACCTGGATAAGAATGTTACAGGTATGTTCAACAGTTCTGGCTGTGTCAACCCTGCAGTAGCCTAAATTTTGTCAAGATTTTCTCAGGAATGATGTCAAAAGAGAGATTTCAGTAGGGATTCAAAGAAGACCAGTAAAATAGTTTTGGTTTTGAGACTGTATCTGAAATTTGAAATATGGGGAGTTAAGCAACTGTAAAAGATGAAAGTCAAGCACCAGTATGTGTGAAATAGGAAGAGATATAGGAGCTAAATAGTGAGGAGCCTGAAGTTTTCCTCTGATGTGAAGAAAATTAGTTTAATTTCAAGAAAGAAGTGACAGTAGTCCAAGAGCTGGATTAGGAAAACGATCATTGAGGAAAGAAACAGATCTGTAAGGTGACATGGATGGGCAGCACATTCATCTGATGGAAGAGCAGCTCTTTACATCCTTTTCCTGAAGAAGTGAGAGGCTTAATGCTGAGGAACTGTCTTGCCAAACAAGTGCTCCATGCAGCTATGACTTGTAAAATGGGAGTTTCTTTGGCTGTGAGAAGCACTATAAAATTTCCCTCTTCTTCTGTTGAATTTGTCTAAATGGAAAACACAGAGCAAATACTAATCTGTACTCTGTTTTCCTTCACTGCAGGGAAAGAATGTCCAGGAAAGCAGGTGGTGACACAGGTGTGAGGGACAGATGGCAGAGCTCTTCCCACAGCTCCTGAAGTGGCCAGGCTTGTGCCACAGCAGTGAATCCCTCTGCCTGGCATACCCTCACTTTCTATAATGCAAGATGAATGAAGCAAAGCAGATAACTCAGCCTGGAGATGCTGCAATTGTGAACAAATTGTCCAGAATAAAAATATTCAAAAGACACAAACCTCACAATCCTCCCTGACTCTGGATTTTCCTTTCCCCATGCTGAATCCATTAATTCAGATATTTCGAACATTGCTTAAGGGGGGGCCTTAACTCTGTGGGTACTGACTGCTACCAGTTCATACAATCACTCCATGGGTGGGATTAAAAAAAAATACTCTGAGGTGGCCCACAACAGAATCCCATTTGCTTTGTGTAATTCATTGGGGAAAGGGTGGAATTTTCTTTTCCCCAGTCGCATTAATGAAGCAGGCCAGGCTGTAACAGATAGCTGATGTCTCCACAGTTTGGAAAGCATATATTTAAATGAAAATATAATGCAGCCTTCTTACTAATTGTGAAATTGGACAGCCTGCAGCCATCTGACATTCCACCTCTGAGAGATCATGGGTAGGGACAATGTTGCTTTTTAAGAGTACTACCCTCTAACTGTGACCATTACAGAAAGACCCTTCTCAAGCTGAGTTCCATTAAAGTTTCCAAATGCATGTGAAAAAAAAAAAGCCATTTCCAGTGCAAGATAAAATATTCACAACTACTACATCCTTAAAACATATCCTATGTCTGCTTGTACTCTTATGGGCAATAAAATACTGAGCATCTCAGCCCTACCTCCAGAAGCTTGAGATACATTGTGCAAGATTAAATACAATGTAGACTTCAGCGGAAAAAAAAAAAAAAAATCTGGAGAGGTTGAAAGCAGTGAAGTTGCATGCCAAATAGATTTCCCCTGACCTCCAGTTCAGGTAGCAGCACTACTTCTTCTAGTGAAAATTTGAGATCAACTCCAGTAATTGATTCTCCCAGTCTAGAAAATCTTGGTGGCAACCCTCATTTTTTCCGTTGTTCTGTAGCAACTCACTGCAGCAATATTGTATAAGACACATTTAATTTTTCATTTAACAAAAGAAACAGTTAATTTTTCATTTAATTCGTTATTATTAATGCAGGTCTTCAGGGCCAGAATAATCCAAAGAGTCAGTGGATGGAATCACGCCTGAGGGTCTGCAAATCCAGCTCAAATTCTGACCTTGGATCAATTGAGGAACTTGATAGTCTTCTCTCAACATTTTTTTTTGCTGTCCCACAGGCTGACAGAACCAATGATCGGCAGTTTCTGCCCAGAATATTTCCTTAACAGTTTTCTAAAGGTGTAATGGAGCTGTCTGGGAAACCTAACATGAGGATTGCTTTCACATCTTAGTGCTACTCAGTAAAAAGTCAGCACTGTCCCCGGTTTAAAATATGTATTTAACTGTTGATGGAAAGGGGACATAGGCATATGTACAGTGTTTGAATAAAGCCATGTCTTTGAAAGTGTAGCCAAGGTGACTGCTCAGACCAGCATCCTGCATTTAAAAGCAATTAATTTTTTTCTTAGTCCAGAAAGACTTATTTCTGTCATGATTAGAGCTAGGCAGAGAAATACTCAGTTGCAACATCAGCTCCTCTGATATCTGTTGACTAGTCAGAATGGAAAAGAGGTCAGCCATTTGGAAAAGCTTCTGGCTGAAGCCAAGCAGGCCAGGCTGCCCACAGACCTCTTTCCTGCTCCCCTGCCTGCTTGGCTTCTTGTGCTTTGGTGGCTCTTCTGCTGATTATTCAGTTTCACAGGACTTTCTAATGAGACTGTACTCTGATATGGAAATGGCAAAGTCCACTGTGAGAGAGAATTGCTGTTCTTTCTCCACACCACTTTCTGGTGTACTTAAATTTCTGTAATTTAGTGAAATATAGTCAGGCTGTAACTTTCTAACGTAGAGATATTTTTAAAAACTAATTCACTTTATAGTCAATCATCTCATGCACTATTGAAGCCAGCACACATGCCATGGAAGAGGAACTGATGACAAGATAAATGTGTCTCAGAACTATGATAGTCTTTGGGCATAAAATAGATTGAATTTTG